GCACATTCGAGAAGTTAATAATACACAGAGCACATTTAATAATACACAAACTGTGTAATAACACACACTATTTTAACCTATGCCGCTCTTTCGGACACCGGTTAGTCAGAATGCCGATCTGCATTCCACTGGGCTAGAAAAGGATTTGCCGGCAGGAACGGTGCTTGACCGATTCCACCTAGTGACAAATGCGCCGTCTGATAACTCTACTGCAGGTTCACCGGAAGTTGTAGTTGAGCGTAAATCATCGTGCTACTGTACTCTGTAGTTCTAACAATAACAATAACTAGTAGATCCCGTGCAAACTACGCGGAATAAGTAAATCACCGATGTATTAACGTGAAACGCAAGAAATATCACCGTTATTTTACTTATAGAATACATTGGATGACAAAAATAAGTAAACATGTGCCAGTCGATTTGCGGTAGCGTCCCATCTACGGATCTACCTACTTTTGTCGCCCTTCTGCCTGGTTATCATATTAAACATACTGCGCTCGAAATCAGCGATTTTGCAATCGACCGTAGACCACAAGAAACGCCGTAGCGAAACTGTTTCGTGTACCACATAACTTAAAACAGTATAGTACTTTGCATGCCGCCATAGTGCTGTAATGGTTGGAGATAAAGTGTACTATTACAGAGTACTATGTAGTTAAAAAACTAACAAATCTGATGTAATCTGATTTACTCACTTACGTCTCGAGGCTCGCGTTCGCTAAAGTGTAGGCAAACTGCCACTGACACGATCAGCCTCCTCGAAACTGAATGTTCACTCTTAGACGACCACAAAACGCTCGCATAGCGTTTTTTTGCAACATCTGCAAAACCATCAGCTGAAGTGGTATCACAACTTCCGCTGCTCAAAAGGTTTATGTTAGTGTCTGAATTCGGCGAAAGGCTCGTGCTGCCTTAAGATGGCTACCTGTTTTTTGGATGCGGCGACTCCGCGACATTATTGCAGCCGGACTTTCATGTGATCCCGGTCTCGTCCCACTGCCGTAAATACCTAGCCAGTGCATGCCCGTGTCATTTTTCTTTCAGTAGCCCTAGCGACCATGGCAACAGGGATAGATCAACCGGACAGATTATATTATTCATGCCGAACGTTCAAAACGTTTCTGAAAAACAAGCACAGTTATGATAATCTCATCAACAAGCATCACATACTACAAGTACACACTACCTTTTTCTTTTAGAGTGCATTTTCATGCAAAATCACACGCAGCGTAAGAGGCAATGAGAGGCACCATAAAAAATTCAGCCACACCTTCCCCGATCAATCCTCGATGCTGGCTACAACATTGATAACAGGAAGAAGACTGCCGGGCAATCTTCGGCATACTCGTATTGTTGATGTACAGTAGTTCAGGCCAGTATTTGGAATTTCTCAGCGCCATTAAACGTGGAATGTCTACCTTTTTTCCTTCTCGTAAACTCAGCAAAGGATTTTTTCCAGAGGGCGCTGGTGATTAGCCAGTTTGGAGAAAGGTCTTCGCTGGCTCCGCCGCGCCGCAGACCGGCGTCGGCTGTGGCTCCGCCTTCGGGGGACGCTACGGTAATGGCTCTCCTCAAAGCGGCTAACCAGAAGCTAGGTGGTTAGCCGCTCATTGTAGCGCATTCCCAGCAGGCGCCTATGTTAACTCCGTCTTATGTTCCGGACCTCCCAGAGTTTTCTCGACACTTCTGGCATTTTTCGGCGGCCCAAGTGCTCATTTCAAAACGACTGCAAAAAACTGTATGCAAATCTAACGAGCCGTTTTCTCTACACTATTGTAGCACAAGTTACTTTTCGCCCGGTAGTTGAAGAAATCAATAGCACTCGCTCGCTTTAGTTGAATTTTCAGCAATTTCTGCAGTAAAACCACTCGTTGGCTTCGCGCGAGAATAGGCCATTGTTGTAATTTTAACACGGCAGTAAAAACTTGGTGAATTATTATGCAGTAAAACTACCAGTTTAATTACGGTACTTTAAACAATTTTAAAGGACGGGTTCCCGGGCTCTCAGTCCCCCTCCCGTCAAAGCGAGTTAAATTCGCCTATTCCAGGGAACTGCAGCATGCGAACCGGACATGATGCACGGTTATCGGAAGGCCTACGGACCATGAGCAACGCACCATTCTCACGTGCCACTGTGCCGTCATATACATATGTGCGACTTGGATCCCTTCAGGGAAACCAGTTCGCGAAACAGACTTCGCCGGACACAGCGGATAGGTGCTACCGCGCGGCGCAGCATCGGAAAGACGACCTCAGCGATGAGGCTACAAAGTGTGTACAGATACAAGTATGGCTGCACCACGTTTGCGTGGCAACGCGGTATTTGTTTGGCGTGGGACGTGACCTGCGTGGATACTGATGTTATGTCTCACCGGAAAGCCACATCAGTCACAGCGGGATCCGCCGCCGCACAGGCGGAGGATAGGAAAGCGGGATTGTACTTGTACCTTCAGGGCAGATACATCTTCGTACCGCTGGCTTTCGAAACTCTTGGACCATGGGGAAAGTCAGCTAGCCGATTAGTGAAAGAAATTGGCAAGCGACTTCAACAGCATACGGGTGAGCCTCGCTCCCATGAGTACCTCCGTCAACGACTGTCGCTGGAAATTCAGCGAGGCAACGCTGCTTCCGTGCTCGGGACAATGGAGGGAGCAGCAGCATTAAATGAATTATTTTGTATTTGATTTATTGTTTTGAAACAGTGATGTTACCGCTTCTTGTGAAATCAATAAAAATGTCTCATTTGCATTTGCATTTGCTGAATAATACAAGTATGATACAAGTATGAGCGACAGAGGTAATCTGTTTGGCTATAGTTCTACTGAAGCCTTCCTATTCTAACTGCGTTCTATAGTCTTGTTTAAATGATGGTTGCTTATTTGTTTAAACTTTGTAATATGTTGGACACACCAATGAGTGCCTCAAAGTTTGTCTTCTCGAAAATAAAATAAACCATTTATTAAAATTCACATCAAAAATATGTCTCAAACAACTAAATATGTCTCAAACAACATATGTCTCAGAGGATGCGGAAAAACTGATCAATGTTGATTGAAGTGTGAAAAGGGGCAACGTTATAACTTCTGGTTATGAAGTATGTTATTCAAAAATACGTAAACGTAAATCTAATACCCGTGCTCAAAGCCAGCAACCGGGATCCATGCCTACCCAAAAAGGCGACGCAATTATAATGTAAAATTTACAGCCTGGGACATAATGTCCGTATGCAGATCTATCAAAAAATTTACGGCGGACGTTTTCTCGAAACGGTGTAGGGCTCTCCAACTTACAGGCAAAAGCGTCCGGCGGCCGTCGGATGGGTCATGCATCCGGATGGTTTGTTGACTACAATATATCGGTATGTTTATGCGTTTATCCATTTCTAAAAAAAAACAAACCCGTCGCGTTTATTTATGCGCAACTTTATTTATGCAGTTCGTACCGAACTTTTTGGGATTTCTCTCAGCCAGAACTTTCCAACCGGGTACTCCGTGCACAGACGGTTTTTGTCCCAATTCATGTGACGACATCGTCACTAGTCGCACCGCATGACCATTAGTCACCGGAAGCCCGTGCAGGTATGCCCTGCACATTCCTGCGCGGTCATATGGCATCACGCTGACCGCATATTACATCATCATGCCGTCATGCACTCTGTCATTGGCTTGTCGCCACACCAGCCCCACCCATGGCAGCCGAGCCCATCCGGACCAGGACCATATATAAAGCACCCCTCCACACCGTACCAGACAGTAGTCCGACAGCAGTCCACCAGCAGTCTACCACTCGACTACCAGCCTACACCTGGATTACCTAGCATTAGCATTGTTATTGTGGGCATAGTGTTATATTGAATAAAGGTCACTAACATACGGGTGCGTTGCCTAATCGTTATAGGGAGACATAGGTAACACGTAAAGGTCATCGTCGACCTGTACAGGTGTAGCACAGGTGCGCTTACAGGAGAACTATACTGCGACATTCACACAACGCATCTGGCTATAAAATTTACAGAAAATGACATTGAAGTGCTTAGTGCGCGAAGGTGAAAGTTCTCCTGCACGTACAGAATGAATTTGGCTCCATGTACCGGTAACTTCCCTCAAGAATCAACAGTATGTGTTATTTACGGCCATGGGGGATGAATGGCGCGATCATTTCCGGGGTAAAAATGTCGCTTTCGAAGACTAAAAGCACTAAGGCAAACTCCAAAATATTCGTATAAATCTGTAATTTTCTGCTTATATCAAAACTGCTGTAATATAACAGTAGTGGTAAATTCGAGCCGCAGGCGCACATTTATTTTCTATGAAATTGTGGGACACCTTCGCTACTACCTGGTTGGCTCAAGCCCAAGCACAAATATCTTGATCTTCGCCAACAGCGGCGATGGCACAGTGGCTGTGCTACGTGGATCTCACTCGGTAACCAGCGGTTCGATTCCGCTCCATCGCCATTTTTCGGAATTTCCTCAACAGACAGGATCTTCATCTGACCGCCCGGCTTTTTTCCAGAAACGTGTTAAAGATCCAGACTTCCAAGAGGTTTAAACATGGAATTTTGTCTGCGCTTTCTAGCCTTTTGAAGCTCTAGAACGAAAACTGAAGCAGCGTCGGTTTCTATAACAGTGCATGCGACCAACCCTTTCCAGCGGAAGCGACGTCTCAGTTCGATTCGAGTGTGTTATGATACATGAACGCATAATCTGGATATTTGCAGTTTATTTACTAGTTTGTTTTAGCCGCTAGATGAAGTTACTCCACTTTCAGATCCGGCCGCTGCCTGCCTCCTGCCGGGTTTTGCATAAGCTACTATAATATAGAGCAGCGTGTGCGTCATTTTCCGTATACCAGACTCTGGTGGAAGTTCATCTAGCGGCTACAATATAATAATTATCATAACACGCAAGTGTACAGTAATTCCGCTTGCGGTGTAAAACAACTGGTGATATTCTACTGGAGTTGCAATGGCTGGCGATACAGTTTAGTCGACGTATTTTAGGCGACATGCACATTCGGCCCTGCAATTGTCGTCTTGTGCATTCGCAAGTATACAGATAAATCTGGTGTTGCGCTGCAGAGATACCGATGAAACTTGCGGTTGCGATGCGTTCGAAGAAAAGCTGAGTATAAGCTGTTGCAACGCATCCGGCCATGTAACAGGAGCCCCCAATGAAAAGTAATTTGTGGCGCGCTCATCAATCAACAAGAAAAATTAGAATTAGCATCTTCCCAAAGTTATTTTACATCTTTTATTGTGTTTTACATTTTACATCTTTTATTGTATTTCAAGCGGCTTGAACTGCGTCTTCGAATAACAAACCAAATAAAATAATCGCTGGCGACCTCGCATTTTGCGAGTATGTTGACAAGCATACTGTGATCTAAAAGGTTCGTGATAATGAGACGCAAAGGAGCCGGCTTAGCTAAGCGAAAGATCTATTTACGAGACATCTGTATTGCCCAAATTGCTCCACCACACAGGTGCATCTGCACAAAGATTTCACCGACGTCGAACACCGGAGACTCGTCGGGCGTAGGGACTCGGTGGACAGCCAACTGGTAAGAGCCGGACTATTTGAAATTACACGTACTTACCTTTGCTCTTACTGTGCTTAACTAATTCAAATAATAAACGAGGTGATCAAAAATTTCTTCCCGCAGTCTATCCGATAACCTCCTGACCGCTGTAAGCAGAATATTGATAAACTAGCGGGTTGTGTGGCTTGATCAAGGATGTATCTTTTTTTCACGAACTCGGAAACACACGCATATTCGCGCATCCTCGTTTTGACGAAATGAGGTAGCCAGATGTCATGTGTTCGGAACGGGAGGTAGCGGGAAAAACGAGAGCTGAAATAAACTGCCCGCTTTTCAAAAATTTCGAAAAGTGAAAAATGCTTTCGACGATTTTTATGAAAATTGTCCTTATTTTTTAACGATTTAATGAAAAAACTTTCGAGATTTTTACCGGTCACCTTCGCGCTTAATTTTGCTACAGTTGCTCGTGTTTTAGAATTCTAACAAATTTCCGCGTTAGAAAAGGGCAAGCTTTTTTTTTATTCCAATATATGATTTTTAATGTGTAATTCTCTGACAAAAATAAGGGATAATAATGGAGAATCGGATGTGAAACGTGACTACGCCAACCTCGGGAGCGAGTTCTGACGACTGTCATGCATTTCTGTTTTTAGGATTCAGAATGAATTTCTGCCTTGCTGATATTCAGATTGGTAAACAATATTGGTAAGCGCCGCGCGCGTACGATTCAATCATCCGATTCGCGTGAAGACCGCATGACGGTAGTGCGCGGGTATATGATATGGAACGATGTCCAGGATTTTGCGTTTGACACGGTACGTAGTTACCGGGTACTGGATATGGATATAAATATCGTCTCGTGAAGGTTTTTGCTCTTCCTTCACTTTTCGGGTATTGCTAAAGTCTGTGACTGTGAATGGGTGGGAGTTGGGACTGTGAGTCTACGTGACTGGTACCTTATGTGACTGTGACCGTCTGTGACTGTGTTGCACTCGGCCTGGGACCGATTGGGACTGTGACCCTTTGGGAGTGGGACTAGTGGTTGTAGGAACCCGCCAACCGACTGACGGCCGACAATTCACCGCAAACAAATATGTGCACTTAGTTTTACAGGTTTTCCGAATTTTCCTCTCTGCTTTCATGTTTTTCTTGTGTTCCTAGTGATTTCTTCTTATGTTTTCATAGGTTTCGTATGTTTGCTTATGTGGTATATGTACAGCAGTGGACTGTACAGTGTCGTTGTACTCTATACCTAGCAACCGATATACAAGTGCTTATTGTCTTACACAATTATTGTTATTAGTTGTTAGTCGTACTAGCCGCGAGTTGGTTAATAAAATATATTAACCGCTAAGTACACCACAGCTAAGGTTTTAAATTTTTAATACTTATGTTTTGGTTATAATGACTTAATTTAATGCAGTTCCCCTAATTTTCGGTTTATGAGGTTTTTTCGTTTTTACGGGGTTGGAAAGCCTAGTAAAATTTTGCCCAGTAGGTGGAATCCCTGTTCGTAGAGATCGCCTTGCGACGAATTGGCTCTGCGTCGAAACGACGCCACGACGAAATGTCTCCCATCGGGATGCCCTGCCGGCCAACTGTCCCGCGACGAAATTTCGCGCGACGAGGTGACCTTGCGGCGAGATGTCTGCGACTAAATGCCCTACGACGAATCGTCCTGGGCGAAATGTCGCGGTTCCGTTAACCAACACTAAAATGGAAAACCATTCATAATACCTACTGTCGCTGTTTTCAGGATATAAGAATCGGTAGTCGCGTTTTGTGGATCATGCCACTACGCAAAGGCCAAAACGGAAAATCACAGGAAAAGTTGTCGCGCAACATTCGGGTAGGTGCGTTTTCCTATAGTCTACTGCAGTATGACTTTTCGTTGCTGGTAAACATAGCAAAAGCTGTGAACGTAGAAACGTGAAGATGGGATAGTTAGACGGACCTTGACTGATCAGCAAATTGTAATATTTGATGAGGAAGTAAACTTAAGAGGGTCGCCGACTCGCCGGCGGCCGCATTTGAACGCAAATTATCTGCACGTACCGTCTGAATTGATTTTATTGAGAAATTGATATAAACGTCATTGGATAGCGCTTTTTTAACGGAAATACCAAAAATTCCATTTGCCAACTGTCGTTTTTCTGATTCCTTTTAAACCGGCATCTCAAAAAGTCGTTTTATTTTGTATACGTAATTGGTACATAAGTACATACGTACGTACATAAGTACCGATGGCACCTACAACTAGTTATTAAAAACAACAAAAACATTTTGAAAAATTGATACTTCCTCGTTAAATAACTACATGCCAAAAAATAATTCAGAAAATTCATTTTATCATATTTATGAATTATGTAGCAAAAATAAAAAGCCGGAAATGCCGACAAAATAGATAAATAAAAAATAAATTTGTTTTCAGTTAGAAATTGTCTTATGTAAGAAAACCAAAGAAAAACTGTTTAATGACTTGATAAAGGAGGCACTTCATCTTTAACGCTCGGTAAAAAGTACAGCGGAGCGCTAATAAAAAAATCAAACTTAAAAATCAAAACAACCAAAATCCGAAATCTTCGATTGCGACAGCCGCGGTAAAGTGTGTTCTGCCATGAACAACAGCATAATAAAACTGAAAATCTTGCCAAAAGTCATTTCTCTCGTTTTTTCAGAAACTTGGCGTAAAAAAGTTTTTTCATTCTTTTTATTTGCTACTGAGTGCTTTGGTGAACGGTCAACATGGACTTTGTTTTGTAACTTCTGTTCGTTTAAGGGAACTTTTTGAAGTAAATGCCATTCCATCTTTCTCGCATATTTTCCAATACTGCCCATGTATTCTGCGGTGCCATGCATCTGACAGAGTCGATAAGCCCGAGGAATTGGTGGCACTGCCGCCACTGCGTGGATCCCAAACTCTGCCAGCGCAATTTATCTGGTAATCTGTGTACAACTGTCACCACATATTAATCATGTCGAGTGTACAGAGACCACCTACGAGAAATTTTAAAAATCATCACCCAAGATAATCCGGCCATAGAACGGCAGCAATTAGGAAAATCAGTCGCGATATGCAGATGTTGAAAGATGTCGAAAGGGATGAGAACAGCTCGGTGCGTTTTGAAACATATTTTTTTATTAGGCAATCGCTTTCGTTTTATTCGGCAATCCCCATCAGAATATCAGAAAATGCCGATGCGAACGTACTACTTCGCCGTCAAAGTTTTAACAGTAAAAGAAGTGCGAAAAATAATTTAGTTCGACTACAGTTAACGTGTTTAACTGGTACATGTTTAACCCGTTCCCGACCATCCCTGTCAAATGGCAGGGTGGCGGACTTTATTCCCCTTCCAGCTCATAATGGAAGAAACTTATGTTCAATGATTTTATTTCACAGCAGGGATGTTGCTGGCTGTTGAAAAAAATTCGACCATCAAATGAAACCCGTATAGGGCACACGACCATTGACCAAAGATGACCGAAATTGCACTTTTTGGGTTCGTAGAGGTCTTGGCTGCTCCTGCAGCTTTCCCATTACCCGATAATTTACAGATAAATCACTCAAAGAGACCCGGTGGCTGACATTACAAAAGCACCAAATGTTTTGAAAAATAACTGGACATTGGGCAAACAGGGTCATTCAAAAATTTCCTGCCAAGTTTGACAGGAATGGGCATGGCGCTACTTTAACAATAAAACTATAAATTCTTTATAAAATCTCAGATACTTGGTAAAATGTCCCACAAGGAATCAAAAAATCAGACAAAAACAGTGCAAAAATGCCTTTTGCTTCGGTGGTCATCAAACTGACCAATGGTCAACAACAGAAAAATTTCCAAAATTCATGTTTTTTGTCGGAAAATTTAGGCTGTTACTTTCAAATAAATTGTGAAATGTAAGAATAAATGTGACATTGCAAAACTGAAGCTGTTTGATATCTTTTTTCATCACCGTTCTGTGGGTTGCTCTGAATAGCCCTAAACATAACAAAGAACTGCATGATGGTCTTCACCCAGTTCAGGATATGATGTAATGGCATGATTTGCATCACTGGGAGCGTAAAATTATATGAAATGTATCTACATACTACCGTTTTAATTCTGTGCAACATCTCCACATTCTATGAGTTGCATCTTGCAGTCAGTTGTTGTGGTGTAAATGCGTGATAGCGGAAATGACCTTGCCGGTAGTGCCGGTGCCGATGTGCTTTACAGGGTTTAATGCAAGTTATGCAATAAGGGAAGCTATCGCCGAATTTTTAGGGGCAGGCAACTTTTAGACTGCATAATTTACTTATAGTTCAGTAGTTGTACCATCTAAAAAATTAAAAAGTTCACTAAAAGTTAAATTAAAGCAGGAAACGGCAAATAAGTACATATGTACTGCTGTTACTGTTGCAGTGTATCATGCAGTATAACGGGAGTATAACTGACAAAAACCGCATATCTAATTGTGCCGACATATTCTGTTGTTTTTGTGTGACCTAGGGTCATTTTGTATTGTCCTTATATAAACAAAGTGGATTTTGCACCTTTGTTAGCCTATGGCCGCTCGGAAACATATTTTCGTGCAATTTTACCGTTTCTTGACCACTGGTCATTTCGATGACCATAACAGTATCTGACAAATGTAGATCTTGTCAAAACGGTTTTTTTAAGTAGTCGTGCTTCTCAGTGCGATCTCCCCATCGTTTCCCATAAATTCCGGCGTTTTACCTGCCAAATGGCATGATGCCCATCCCTGTCAGTTTGGCAGGCTATCGCCCTGCTTGACCTATGGCCAAGAAAATTCCCAAAAAAATAATTTTTCTTGATTGAATTATTTGAGGAAGACCCACAAATTTTTAGATTGGTATTCATGTTCCTTCTGGTAGCTGACTTTGGTGGGTTAAAATGAACGACAAAATTTTAAAAATTAAAGAAACCTGGTGGAAAGTGGAAACGTGATTCAGTGTAAGAACTTCCTTCGTGTTAATTTACGTTATCATGCAAAATATGCACTGGATCGGTTCATAATGAGATTTTCGGTACATCTCTGTGCGTTTATAAACCTTTTGGGATTTTTCTCATCTGTAAATCTACAACCGGATGTTGCGCACAAACGGTTTTCACGCCAATGTATAGAAACCTTTCGGCTTAAAACTTCATAAAAAAGCCAAGAAAGTGTTTTAGAGTGAGCGAAAGCCAAAGTTTTGGTGCATGCACTCGAATTAAGTACCATGTTCCGGCACATTTTCCTTACAAGCTAATTATTTCCACTGAGTTATTCGCACAACTACGAGATGCATATGGTTTTATAGAGAAAAATCAGCTCTGTTAAGTAGTATTTTTTATAGCGGGGTGGTTTTTATACTTATCGTTTAAAAAGCATCTAAAGTTAGTATTGCAAATCGTCCAGTGACGTGTCTGTGCGCACTTCAAAGATGCCGCCCATCGCGCATCCGAGATACCGATCTTCTGCAGCGCTGAACGCGGATATGCTGCATGGCGTGGTTATCAGCTCGGCAGATCATATCCGGATTCAGTGGGAGCTGGTATACGGTATGCTGTATATTCTGAGCACTGAACACCTGAACGCGGTGTAATTTTTATTTGTGATTCTAAAAATTAGCAAACTTATAATTTTAGGATTTAGAACCTTAAATGCACGTGAAAATATCTACAATCTATTTTGTGAGCTCTTTGTAAACTCAAAACTAACGCAAATAAAAAATTCTTTATCGCTAACGTAGATGTCGTACAGGCAGGCCAGCGCTCAATTTTCACTGAAGATCGGTATCTCGGATGCGTGATGGGCGGCACCTTTGAAGTGCGCACAGAGACGTCACTCGACGATTTGCAATACTAACTTTAGATGCTTTTTAAACGATAAGTATAAAAGCCACCCCGCTATAAAAAATACTACTTAAAAGAGCTGATTTTTCTCTACAAAACGATATGGGTCTGGTATCTGGGCGAATAACTCAATGGAAATAATTAGCTTGTTAATATTAATGAACATTAGTGTGTGCCACTGTGTGGTTATCAGGATTTTACGTATGTTTTCTGAGTTAGAGAGACAATTTTGTAACCGAATGCTCGGTGCTTCAATACTAATCCAAAATCAATCGCAGATCCGTGCATCCAGGACAGTCAATACTGATCTGCGTGAATGTTGGGTTCCTGCAAATTTTATTTTTCTGAACCCCATCCCGGAAGTCGGAAGATGACACATTTTGCTCTATGCAGTCAGCTGTCATGTACTTCCGTAAAAGTACGCAGTTCATTCCGTTCTTCCTGGAACTAGAAGGGACGAACAACCCAGCACAGCATGTTTGAGATGAGTATACACGCCAAAAGCGAAAAATGGTGGCGATATCTATCTGCTATATCGCCAAGGAAAATAATTAATCAGGATAGCAACAGGTTACGGTACTCGGTGTCATCTCTAATTGGGTACTTAGTCACACTTAAGAATATCAGCCAAAGGTATATAAGCCGACGCAGTCGGGTATGAAATTTTATTAAACGTAACATATGGTAATATGGCATACCGTGTACGAATTACATAATATAGCGTGTACATTAATTGGCTAGTACCTCACTACTCGTATTACCACACTATCTCCACAAGTCCTGTCGCATCTCCACACGGACCAACACGGAAATGGAAACCTTCTTATCTTTGGGCTTTCTCATGGGATTGGGTAAGGCTGACCATTCTGCTCTGTTTTGCTTTATGGCAGTTGGTGAATGGTCAAGAAAATCAGTTTTCCAGTAGTTTGGCATTACTTCCGTACTAATTTAAGGGAAATGACCCGGTACGTGGTGCCGGTATCGTACACATCCACTAAACCATTAGCTTTCGCGCACTCCGAACCAATTACTGCAGCGTTTATGTCATTTTGCACTGACTAACTTGCATGCATTGACCTGAAAACGTTTATGCGTGCAACATTCGGCTGCGCGCGAGATATCACAGCATTAAAATAATGGACACAGCAGTTCAAATATTTTTTGTGGTGTACCGAAAGTCAGGTTATTCGTAAATCTTTGTGAAACGTTGGGAAAAGAAAATATGACCATATTAAAGTCGCGTCGCCTTTTCCTGAATTTTAAAATGAATTTTTAAAAAAATTAAATAGGTTTCTTTGGCAAATACATTGAGTCGTACATGTCAAATGTCAATGTAGCATTACATTTTACAGTATTAACAACTTATGGAGCGTTGTTAGTCAGGTTTGATGTGTTATTATTATCGCTGACACCTATGAAAATTGTTTATTTCAAGTAAGTAACTTCTTTTAATTATTACAAAAAAATTGTTAACGGACTAAGGGTGAACAACTTAAGAGTAATTTTTCAGAAGCAGAATTTGTAGTGGAACTGGATGCATACGAAACTGGTACCAATTTCCCTTAACAGCAAAATCTGCAGATTATTCGAACAAGCGTTTGCGGATTTTATTTCACTCATGTGTCCCGTGGTATGACGAGTTATCCAGTGAACTTACTTTCCTTGTAATTATATTGCAGCGACCCTTGCGTACGGAGCAGGCGAGAGCGTAAGTATACAGCTGATATTAATACTTTGATAAAAATAATGAGATCTTCATATTCGGATATAGCGAACACAATCTGAGTTTACAGACCGTTATCTATTAGCCATAGGCACCATCAAACGGAAGCAAAATAATTATCTACAAAAAATAATATTTAAACATACATTATCTGTACAATGTTACATTATGTACAATGTACATTACGTACACGATGTACAATGTACAACGCGCTTCTAGAAAGGTAAGCTGCTGGAAGTCAAATCCGTCGTCATTGACTGTGATCAAGAGATCACATACATCGCCAACAAATCGGCGGACGAGTGCGGTAGGAAATGCCAGAAAGACGCCACCTGCCGCATGGCATCCTACAACATGCGGGACAGAGAATGTGGTCTCGTTCCATTGAATTTCGACTGCCTTTTCGGTACATCCGGCTTTGACGATTACGAAGTCCTTGGATTTACCACTAAAACATTCATCAAACGCGACAACGCCTACCTGGATACGGAGCTGCTGAGGGATAAGAAAGGTCGAGTGGTGCTGCAGGGCGCCCATGGTAAACGGTCGGTGATATCCGCTGATAAATGTAAATCTCTGTGCGATGTCCATCCCAACTGTCAAGCGGCATATTACACGGATACCGTGGGGAAGTCCGGTTGCCAACTGATGGCCCAAGCCGAACCGGTTTACCCAGTTACCAACCCGACTTCGACGAGCATTGTGTTCATCGCCGTGTAAGGCCGGCATTTGAGGGAGTCAGGTGGATGGATGATAATAATAAACATTTAATATGCTAATCTGGCCATAGCCTGGTAGCAGTACGTCCGGCTGTAAGATTGTAGAAACGGTTCCCAATTTGGTTGGGTAGCTTCTATCTCTTAAAATTTTGAATCAAAGCAATGAAGTACTGAATTTTTCAGAATTAACAAAACAGATTGTCAGTAACGTCTGGTCGGATATCTTCATTTACACGAGCTGCATAATGGCTGTACCGGCCGCAGCTCGATCATAATTATAACGCTCACACCGCTGTTGAATTGCTGCTTAACAAAATTTAATTTTCGATCACTTTTTCGTGGCTTGGATGCAAAATGGTAGCGTCATATTAATAAGCGAAATATTTTCTGAGCGGAACTTCCACGCAGGTAGTTGTACACATGCGTCGCACTGCACTACGGCAAACCAACATTTTTCAGTGCCTGGCACAAGGTGTTTTACCACGTTTTGGTAAATTTGAGAAGTCTTGCGTTCAACAAGTGAACAATCCACAAAAGTAGAACGGCTGAAAAAATTATTTACAAGACTGCACTACTAGCTGAACTGATTGAAACGGTCATCGAGGGTCAACGTACAAACTTCTGCTTCCCAGAACTCAGTTCAAAAATACTGACACCTTACGTTACTCTGTAAAACAGTTTCACTTTTGAAATTCGCCAGGACTGTGTACCAAAAGTAACACAGTTTTAGCTCATATTCGGCTTAATAAATTACTACAGAGTAGATTTTCTATACCACGGCATTTTTGTACCCAGAACATAATACGGGAATTAAAAAGGTATTTTGTACCGTATACACATTACACTATACATACATTAGTAGGGCATCTGCATATTATACGGCACTGCTGGAATATCCATGGAATACTTATTGGACATCGCAAAATTAACAGAAGCAAGTGCAGCAATACTTCGCAAGAGTGCCGGTTCGAAAATCTTCTCATTTTGTTTTGCTCATTGATATGTGACACCAGCATTTGCGCATAACATGCGCAGTTACAATAAGTTTATTTGGCAGACTACAAGCCGCATCAGTCAACTCTTTAAATTGGATGTATCTTACAGACAACTGGAATTTCTTTGGCTTGTTGGGAAACATTTTACCTTTCTTTTGGCTTAGTTTTATGAGATTACACTACGCGGCGACGTACACAGTGCTCATATAGGATGGTCTGGGAATTTGGTGGACTGCACCGGCTTTCGCCAGCAGTTTGCAACTGGACTGTGCCATGGCGGTCGTATAATCCGCTGCTTTACAGGTGGGATGGATATCGCACAGGGATTTGCAACTATCAGCCGGTATCCCATTGCCGCTGAGGAGCACCTTTTCACCTTTCTTATTCTTCAGCTCTTCGGGATTTTCCACATATGCGTTGTCGTGTTTGGTTAATTTCTTGTAGGCAAATCCAGTTAGCTCGCAATTGTCGAAATCTGCTCCACTGAAAGTGTAATCTGTAGTTGGCGGGATCAGTTGGCACTTTTTGTCAACTGACCCCGCCAAGGTTAACAATTAAATTTAGCTCACCCATCATATCCGAATACGAAATTTATACTTGTATTGTTTTAATTATGAAGCCCGTAATAACATATTTTGACGTTTACTTACGCTATCACTTGCTCCGTTTCCCAGGGTAGCTGTAATTATATGCAAAGTTAGTATATTAGTCGAATCGTGAAAGACGTCGTGCACGAGGATTTTTTCCGTTGAACTAGAGCGGAAGTTCGGGCCAAATTAACGAAAACGTAACTTTCTTGACCTTTTATCAAATGCAACAAAATTATCAGAACGAAGCGGTCGCCTTACCGGGTATTAGCGGGTATACCTATAATGGATATACAGTTATACTATATTACTGAATATCTTACGGTTTACGCGAATTTTGTTTGAGCCTGCGTCGGCTTATAGAACTCTGGTTAATGTTAATTTTTCACGTAATAACTCCATTACTAATGTTGACACCGAGTATCCTAACCTGTTGCTAACCTGATTGCTTAATTAATTCATTTCTCGCTGCAGACATCGAAACTATTTCGCACTGAGACATTACTTGAGGCACTTTTGCATTGCGAAAATGCTGTATTTTGTTGTTTGTCCCATCCGGTTCCAGGCTCCAGCTGTAAGGAAACGGTAATTACCGTAACTGCTTATACTTTTACCGTATGTAAATGACTAGCGCATAGATTACCTGAGTTGGGACAAAACTTTTTCTAGTGCGCTATAGCAAGAGTTGTACACAATCAGCCGTTTTACACAATCATATATTTTCATAATATTCATATTTTTTTTCACAATCATCTTTTTTTTATTTTCAGATGAATCGGTTTTGCATATTAGTGTAAGGGCGGGACGCCCCGCCCTCCTGAGTAGCTATTCGCTGTTTCTGGGGATTTCCACCCCGCACATTGCTGCGCTGTTTTGACGGATCTGCAGCACAGTTGCACTGGCTGCAGAATCCTTCCTCTTTAGTCTGGTGTTGCTGCGCCATGGTGCGCATTAGATTCGGCAATAAAGCCTCATCCGGGTTCACGCTGTTCGCTGTCGAGGATACGCGTGGCGCCCATATGGCCCCGCGTTATATTAGCAAAACCGATTCTGTTTAATAAAAGCAGCAGATAATTCCGTTACGAAATAGTTTCTCGAAACAAATAAAGTTTATAACACCACCCTCGTATTTAATAAATGTCTGCACTATTAACTATTTGGCAAGTACAGTGAACACTAGTTAATCATGAATTTGTGACTTCCTGACTGGCATTGTATACTCTGCCAGACATTACTTATTCACTGTACTCGTACGTTTTGTACGACACTGTCTGAACAAAACGGCATTAAATTCTGCTATTCAGTAATCATGTTTCTAACGGCTTCAAGAGAAAACTACGCAGTAAAAAAGCTTAATATCACAACAGTTAGAGCGCTAACTCAATTAACTTTTCCGCTCTTTCCTTAACTGACACCGTGTTTCCTCCCCGTATCTCCAGTGGCAGCCGGTGTCGGAGAAACTCATGTGGGTGATTCAGGAGACGAAATCAACACTGCGCGCCTGCTTGCCCAGTCTAGACCAGAAGCCGGAATTTGGTTGAACGCCTTGCCGTCCGCTCACATCGGCAATCTACTGGGGGACGACGAACTGAAGATCAGCATCGGCCTCCGACTCGGCGCCACGATCTGTGAACCGCACGACTGCGTCAAATGCCACAAACCCGTTGGTGGTTACGGGCACCACGGGTTATCGTGTGTTTTCTCCGCCGGACGGCATCCGCGCCACGGCGGGTTAAACAGCATCATTTGTAGAGCCTTTGTATCCGCTGGTGTGCCTGCAAAACTAGAGCCGCGCGGCACATCTCACACAAACGAACGCCGCCCGGATGGCTGCACGACATTCGCCTGGAAGCGCGGATTGTGTCTTGCATGGGACGTGACATGTGTAGACACGGTTGCGCTATCGCATCTTAAAGCCACTTCCACCACAGCGGGAGCGCGCCGCTGCCCAGAAGGAAAGAAAGCAGGGCTATATTTCTATCTGACCGGCCGCTACCTATTCGTCCCGATCGCTTTCGAAACACTAGGCCCGTGGGGACCTTCGGCGATCGCCATCATCAAAGAGCTGGGAAAAAGACTGCAGCAGCACACCGGGGAAGCACGCTCGCACGAATTTCTGCGACAGCGTTTGTCCATCGAAATTCAGCGGGGAAATGCGGCTTCAGTGCTGGGCACGATGGAAGGGCTAGATAAACTAAACGAAATTTTTCTGTTATAGTCTAATGTGTTCCTTTTCTTGCTTATGCATTGCGATTTTGATTTGACCAATAAAAAATCTATACATATGTGGGTGATCAAATCTTTTCTGAGCGTTTTGCAAACGCCTTCCCAATTTTTTGATAATGGCAACAGCCAAAGCAGTCGGACAGGTTCATTATTCTTAAGGGAGTAAACATATGTTGGTCGTGTACGGTAGGTAGATTACTGGATTTAAATATAACCTGGACTTCTTTTAATGTTCCGGGTACACGCGCACGCGCGGCATCTGCTCCCGCAGTTGTCGATTAGAATTGATAATTCTTGGAGCGCCGACGGTATATCGACGCAAATGACACATTCCTCTGTCGATGGGCATTTTCGTGCAAGAGTGAAAAGACGGGAATTTAAGAATCATGTACTTTGTACTGTACATACAATACATAAAGTATTTGCATATTGTACGGCATTGCTTTAGTATCCGTAGAATAATTATTGCATATTCTTAAAATTTTATTGACTTGAAGTGCGTTTCCCATAAAAGTATTGTGTACAGAATCAGAGTACAGATACTTCGTAGACGTGCCGGTTGGAAATCTTTCACATTTTATTTTGTGCATTAATATGACTCCATGATTTCGCATACGGTGCATGCGCAATTACAATAAAGTTTATTTGGCACGCCACATCCCAAGACAGTCAGCTCCTCCAAATGGAGATATCTTACAGGCAATTGGAAATTTCTATTTTTTCTTATTTTGGAAAACGCTATACCGCCTTTTGGTTATTCAATGTTATTCAACGTATGAATCCAACCCAGGATAAGCAGCCTGACGTAATACCACCAGGCTTTGGCACGTTAGCAAATTATATGTGTTTACTCGATCTATTCCCGAAATAAGTAGCCGACCACTTCAAAAGGTGATAATCCTTCACGTGTTCCCTATGCGGCAGCGAACACAATGTTCGTCGAGGTTGGATTGGGAACTGATTTGACCGGTTCCGCTTTAGCTAACAGTTTGCAGCCCGACTGTCCCATGGCGGCGGTGTAATACGCCGCTTTACAGTTGGGATGGATATCGCACAGATTTCTGCACGTATCCGCCGACAACCCATTGCCGCTGCTGAGCACCGTGTTCCCTTTCTTATTCTTCAGCTCCGCCGAATCCAGGAAGGCGTTGTCGCGTTTAGTGAATTTCTTGTAGGCAAATCCAATGAGCTCGAAATTATCAAAACCGGCTCCACCGAAGCTGCAGTCAGAAGTTGGCGGAATGAGTTGGCATTTTTTGTCCTTGATGTTGTAAGATGCGAATCGGCAGTTGGCGTCTTTCTGGCACTTGCTACCGCAATCGTCCGCCGATTTACTGGCGACGTCTGGGATCTTTTGACCACAATCCACTGCGACGGATTTGATTTCGAACATCTTCCCTTTCTAAAAGCACATATTTTATACTTAATTAAAACATTGTAAACCAGTGGATGCCTTTACAAGGGAAAATTAAATTTCCGAAGATATTTTATTTCCGTTATAGGATGTTGTTTAAGTTTAATAAACAAATTACGGTTATAGTCGATTCAAATTATGTTCGTCCATCATATCCAAACTAGACATTTTTATTGTTTTATTGAAGTACGTATTGAAATTAATGCCACTTACGCTATCGCTTGCTCCGTATGCCAGGGCAGCTAAAAAATACGCCAAGTAAGTCTAGACTTTTCAAACCGTTGTATCTGTACTCGTACACATGTTGCTCCGAGCTGTTTCCGGTGGGTGTAGCGTTGCGAAAGTTAAGCGAAGTTAACAAAAAAAAATAATTTTTGCAATAACTACACTAAAATTTTTTGCACTGCACTAAAAAAAATACAGTGATTAGCCTTACCGAACACAGCAAGAAATGCCAAAGATAAGAACGTTTCCATTTCTCTGTGGAAATTCAACGAATTGTGGGACAATGCCGACAGGACTGTGTGGTACTGGGTATAAATAACGTATATCCGGTTAAACCGTCACGGTCACACTACCATAAACCGTATGTTAGGATTCTACCAGAATTTTGTACAAGACGACGTCGGCTTATATACCTTGTTGTTTAAGGTATACCTAATTAATGCTGACTCGAAGCAGCCATAACATAACCTGTTGCTATCCTGATCATTAATTAATTTTCTTGGCCGTAGACAACTAAACCATTTCACACTCACACTAACTTGGGGCGTTTTTGCATCTCGAAAATGTTGTATTTTGTTGTTTGTCCCATCCAGTTCCAGGCTCCAGATGCAAGAAAATTGTAATTAATTGCCTACGCGTTTACCGTAAGTAAATGACTAGCGGCCTATTAGCAAACTGATTCTAGTTTAATTAAAGCCCAAGATAACTTCGTTACGAAATAGTTTCTCTAAGCAAATAAGATATATGATAACAACGTTCTCGTGTTTAATAAATGTCTGCCAATAACTATTCGGCAAATATAGTGAATATAATCATGAATTTGTGATTCCGTTACTCATTTTGTATCCTCCAGGCACCGTACGATACTGTCTGTACTAAGCAGTATTAAATTTTACCGTTCAATAATCATGATTCTAACGATTTTAAGATACAACTAGTAAAAAAGGTTAGTAACACAACAGTTAGAGCACCTTACACTTTTCCGCTCTTTCCATTAATTGTGTCCATAACTGACGTCGTGTCGGGAACCGGTCGGGCCGGGAAAAGCTGACCGTATGAGAAGGGCCCATTACGAGAACGGGACAACACTGTATGTGCAATTTCACCGCTGCATGGACGTATCACGTCCCGCGCTTCTATTAACCGGAAGACACACGTGCCGCTAGCCCGGGTAGTCATCGACTCATCGTAACTGCAGTTCAGACGTTACGCAGCATTTCATTCATTCTACAGTGGCTATATTGGAAGCAGCATCTCAACATGTAAATGTAACTACACAAATTTACGTACAAACAAAGCAACAAGAATAAAACTACTGATTCCCATAACTCTGTACATAATTATATAATTCCCGAACCTTATCCGTGGTATATGTTTACCAATCAATGTATACAAATCATTTGGCTACACCCTGTCATAAAACAATACAAAAAAATTCTTTGTAAATGCGCGAAAGTGAAAGTTTTCGTGCATGTATTGATGTGCATGAATTTCCTCACGAGCCTGTTTTCTGTTGAATGAATTTCCTCACGAGCCTGATTTCTGTTGATTGAATGTACTGCTTTGTGATGTTAATTCTTTTTCTCTAAACTGCAACTGAATAACAACTAGTAACATGCCTTTGCTTGCATGTACGACTTATTGTACATGTACGTAGCGGGTCAAATTCCCTTGAATGCAATTTTGGTACACCTTGTAATTAAGCTTTTCGGAATTCTATTAGATATTTTAAGTTATTTCACCCATGACTTCCAGCCGGATTTTATACACAGGCGCGCACAACAATATGCTACAAAATAGTACGGTATACAAATAATTTTGCTGTAGATTGCAATAAAATGAATAAAATGACGCAAGAAAGTGTTTAGGAATGCGCAAAAGTGAAAGTTTTTGTGCATGTACATTTTATGTACACGAATCTGGTCCCATTTGTTCCTGTATACTCACGATCACTTTAAAGTACGCAACTTGTATTGTAAGTACATCTATGAAGTATAAATGATGTAAGGACCTACATCGTTTCAAGGCTGTATCTGTAATAACACGAAAAAACTTAAGTTATCAGCAAAATAACAGCAAAATATTAGCAGAATAATTAATAATTAATTATTTATCGTACCACGGCAGTACATACATAATGTAACATTGTATTGTATAATATACAGTACGTTAAATGTGTACACATCGGTAAACCGAAACCGAACAGGAACAAACTCCATTTCTGGATGCCGGAAAACAATGCTTGTGTTTTTAGCTTGTTGGCATTCAAACAGTAATAAAAAAATTAACAACCAGTTTGTATGTGCCGTGTACATATTTATCCCACAGGCACATGCCATGCGCGGATCTACCCGTAGCAAAATTAATCCCTGTACAACTGTAGCGATTTCCCAGGGAATTTTGCGATATTGAAATCGATTCTTTTGGCTCGCTTATCCGGAATATGAGCGATACATGGACTGTACAGTACCACATGTTGTCTGCACATTTTGTTTGTGCCACGTTTAATAATAATCAAGTTATCGTGGGTTGAGAGCAGCACAGGTGGCTGATCGAGTATAGTATAGTATACTCGTATACGACATCCCCAAACTACATACAGAATCAATGCTCGTGTTATGACTAATCTTTTCATTATTTATACATACACTGTTTACATTTATATTAAGGTAAAAATTTAAAGTATTCATAATTCAATTAGTCGTAAAGTTGATATATAAATATTTACGATTAAATCCGTGCAGTATCTGGAAGAAGCCCGCTGCATACGAGCATGGTATGGACTGATAGCAGCAAATGTAACGTGCTGCCAGCTACAGCACAGTGGCGTTTATTTTCACTACAAATCACCAACGCATGTGCCCGTCTCACTGCACCGACGTCAAAGGGGCCTAGATCATTTATACCTTACGCTAATTGTCATTACAGCTATTTACGATTTGACTATTGATCCACGAACTCGCGTTGCTCTATGCATGGAACCATCAGTTGATGGCATAGCATAGAATAATTTTCTATCCCGTCGCGGATTGTGGGAACGCTCGTTATCTCTCATACAGTGTATCCTTGTTACTGGAATATACACTATATTCTCGTTGCTGGAATTAGTGAGGCTACGTGGCTGTTTAGCAATTAGCATCAACAACTTGTGTAATTCTGGGCATCGCGTACAGTAGGGCACTGTAATACATAGTCCAGCCTGCATTTTCTGGACTATGGGTCTAGATGGATCGTCCACCAGCTGTCTGCCCGTGGATTCCTGCATCAGCGTACCGCGGTGTCGCATCTGCGGAGCACGCAGCACGGGACTGCATTACGGCGTCATCAGCTGTGAAGGATGCAAGGTACGTACCTTATATTGTCAGCAGTAGATCGCATTTCCATTAAGCAAATGGTAAATGCACTTGTTTATTTAAGACTGTGGGCAATTAATCAGAAATCAACAATTATCACTTAACCAAAACGCCAAAAGCCAGACTTTCACACCGTTCTTATCTTCGATGTAAATATGTTATAATTATGTATGATGCTAGTACCTTTCCATATGTATAAATGTCGAGCTTCTTCTGTAACTGCTTATGCTGCTTCCGAAAAGAAGCCAGCTTTATCATTTATGTACGTAAATTATCAAATTTTTAAAAGCTTATATTAAGTATGGTTAAGTATGATATGAAAAATGCGTAAGATTCGGGTTGGAACTTGGGACAGTATACTGCTGTTAATGCTGTGCCCCACAATTTCCAGCTAAATTATGCATTATTGTCGCCACATGCTAAGCGTTTTTATCTGTACAAGCTGTGCTAAAAATGAAAATATGGAAAAAGTGGACTCTGGCCATGATTATGTAAGTATGATGATATATCGTCCTCATTGCAGGCTTTCTACAAGCGCGCCATCAAGAATTCCCTCAAGTATGCCTGCCACTTTGGATCACGCTGCGTTATGACGTCCAAGACCAGCGGACGCTGCAAAGCCTGTCGTTTCCGGCGCTGCGAAGAGGAGGGAATGAGCGCCCAGGGTATGTTAATCATAACCCGAATCTTAATGCGTTTTATAACTATTCCTACTTCGGACATATGATGGTTAATAAGCAAATTAGAAGGAAGTACTCGTCAATCGTCGAAAACTATGTTTCCAGTTTTTCTCACATTTATGTGGCATAATTCTTCGTTTCATCAGTAATTACGCACGTGTCTTATCCTAATTTCTGAACACAACGAAGTCGCCAGATGTTCCGAAATAATGGTATTTATTAGTAAAAACCTTCGCCCATGAAATTCACGGAAACGTACAGATCATCAATTTCTTTTTCATGAAAAAAATAACCTATTACCGTACAAGCTCGACATTTTTAAACGTACAATTTGATTAATCATTAATTTGCTGATCTTGATGGTGTCTATGTTTAGCGATGCGTCAGAATAAGAAGGCCAAATTAACTACCAAGGATTCCGGGGAAAAAGAGAAGATCCCATCACCGGAACCGCTGACCTATGGATTCCGGGGTACGTCGAAATTTCGAAGGTTAACGAAACGAGGAATTATGTTAGAATTCCTGTTTTAAGCAGAAATCAGTCCGATGAGCCCGGAGGCCAGCATGGACTGGATGGCCGTCCTCGGACTTCGATTACAACGCACCCCGCGGTACCGGAACCAAGCGGATGGGGATGCCGAGCCAGCGGCAACGGGCGCTCACGGTATGCTTGTCGGAGTTGCATAATCGACTCTGACGCTGACATGGAGATATTAGCCTTGTTTATCCGTAAATCCATTAGCGATACGGGCCTGTCCCAAAGATTGACCGACATTAGATCCACGAAAAGCGCCGATTATGGGTATTCAATCTGCGCAGATGATGGCATTTGCCAGATTAATATCGATTGTCTCCCTTAGCCTATCCCGTCCTGTAACCTACCGAGAAAGGTGTACAATGAGAGTGTGACTGACATATCGATTCTAGTCAGCCTACGTTTCACTAGGAAACATTTCTGAAACATTGCAACATTTCTCTTGGTTTAAAGAATTATCCTGTTGGTACTGGCATTGCCTTCGCTGCATGGAAAACGCGTAGATGCGATTGTACACGCGTTTTTCGAAATTCAAATGAGTGACTCCCTTCAAGTCGCCATGTATATTGGTGACTTGGTGTATAATTTTGAAATCTACTAATCCTGTTGAATACATCGAAATTTCGCGACGATCGCAGGGCTAACCACTTTAAAAACGAGCAAATTTGAGAATACTTCCGGTTCCGGTGCTTGACGCTGTTGGAGCCGCCCAGTGTGGCGGCGGTATTTGATTTTAAGTTTGCTAAGCTCTAAAAATTGAAGTTTTGTATTGCACTGTCAGAAATGTTTAATTTATCCGGGCCATAGCCAATTAACAGAACAACAAGCCTGCGCTGGTAGATACTAATTAAAAATTTCGAGTTTAGAAATGTCAAAAACTCAAAACTATTAATTACAAAGTAAGGAACTGATCATAATCATTTTTAACGGTTTTTTCGTATCGATTTTAACTACACAGATTCGTACAAAAGCCTGATAGTCCTTAGCGACAGCAGAAAAATGCAACGTAAAGGTAACAGTCCTGTAATTCCACTTAACCGAAAGCAAAACCATGAAAAATTAAATACGAATTTTTATAAAATATACAATGTTGGATATTAGTGAAAACGATGCGAGCAGATGGAAAAATAATTACGGAACGTAGTACTGACACTCGATGCTGTATGTGTAACCCATTGCAGTGCTGTCCAAGCGTCTGTGGTGGCGCGAACTGAAGGACATCCAGCGCAGCATGCAAAGCGACCAGTCCACCGCCGGGGAGGCGGAAGTCTCCTCCAGCACGGATATCAAGGCCATCCGCTGGGCGGATCCGGACCCTGGGGCGCGGGCGGACGAGATGCCCTTCGTGGCGCTGAATACTCCCGATGCCGGTCGGACGCATTACTTCTCGGGGTGTCTGCAGCCGACCTTGTTCCCGCAGTTCAACATGGAGGAACTGGCCCGCTCGGGCTGTGTGCAGAGTCCGCGGTTCATGCGGCGCTATGTGGGCGTGGTGTGCCAGCGTAACGTCCTGCTGCGGGTGTCGTTCGACGCCGTGCAGGCCGCCGTTAACAGTGCGCTCAGCGAGCAACTGGAGCTTTATAAGCGCCACAGCGAGACAGCGCAGATCCATCATTGCACAGCGGTGAGAAACTGAAAATTGCAAACTTATCTTTGTCAGCGACAACCCATGCCTTTTTATGTCTGTAAATCCTTTTTAGCATTTGATCGGCTTTTTTATAGGTATTCAGTTATTATAAATAATTATGATTATTTTTACTAACTAAGAATAATCTTTATTGGCAACAGCCACCCAAATAACAGTAATTGCAAGCGCTGGTACACTGCTTAATAGGTGAAAGTTATACATTAAAAAACAACCAAAGTCTCTGTTTTCTCTTAGGTAAAGGGCCATGAACTCAAAAAAATCCGTAGCATTTCCTTTAACGACACCTAAACTAAAACGCTGCTTGAGAAAACGAGTAGAACGCGCTTCGCCCGCTCTTTCTAACTAAGAATATATATATACATGATTATCCTAACTCACGCTAATCACATATATTGTACAGTGCCTCAGCAGATATATGCTAAATAGCTGATGATACAACTAATGCTACATTGATTGGAGTTCTCTTATAGAAATAAAATTCTCGTATATAAAGAGAATTCTTATATACAAAGAAAAAGCTTATCGTTAATTAGGGATATGTATGTAATTTAATGACAGTTCAGATTTGCTCATTCACAGCCGGATTTTGACGAGACAGTGCGAACCGAAATCAGCTTCTTCACGAAGCTCTTCAGCCGCTTCGTCAAGGCGATCCCGGGTTTTACGGACTTAGATGAGCAGTATCAGCAGAATCTCTTAGCGGAGCGGCATTCCATGTTCTGGGTGGTATGTTGTTATTGCGGCGTTTCCCTATTTAAATTCCCGTTTTCGTATCACCTTACACCGTAATCAGTGCGGTATTCGTATTGGGCAGTTTTTCCATTCGGACTTCATGTCCAACAAACAGCGCCAGCAGCTGCTGATATTTCTCCACAAACCGGACACGCCCACCGCCTACTACTGTCACTGGGTGTGCGAAGCCGACTATATGGATTTCGTCGTGCAGTTATCAACGCGGATGCAAGTGTTGCAGTTGAGCGTCGCCGAGAAGTTTCTCTTATTCGTCGTTCTGCTGTTTGACCCCGGTGAGTGATCCTTGAACGTCATTCCCGAATGCCGTATCGAATTTGTGCACAGGCACAAGAATTTTCGCTTTCGCGCACTGCCAAACACCCTTTTGCATCGTTTCATGACATTCTGTGGCCAAATGATTTGTATATATTGGCTTCAAAATGTTTGTGCCCACAGCTTCCGGTTAAAGAATTATGAAATATGCCCAAATTGAGCTTTAGGCTTTAAGCGTAAATATGTGTCCGAAATTTACGCTTAAACCTGCAGAAGGATCACCTTCTGCAGAAAAATCCACATAAATATGAAGATCATTTCGGTACGCAACCATGTTTCCGTTAGATTCTCTGCAATTTCAAATCAATTTGAAAATTGAAAAAATGTAAGATTTTAATTCCGTGTCCAAACGATCTTTGGCTTTGCATGTCTTTCTCGGTAATATTCGAAGACGATCGGTCCATAATGAGACTTTGAGTACCCATCGTTATAATGTTTGGTTGCACCCGCGTTTGCGTTTTATCTTTTGGAATTTTATGCTACCCGTATGTATGGCCACATTTTCCCAACCGGAAATTGCAAGCATACACGGTTTCTACACCAATGCATTCCGTTCCTTTTGCCAGAGAATGTCATGCAACACCGTAAAAAAAGGGTTGGGAAGTGCACAAGACCGGAAGTCCCCGTGCGTGAAAGGGACTTGGTGCCACTAGGTACCGGCCTACTATCCCTTGAGGGAAGTGGCCGGTATACATGGTTCCGAATTCGTGTACGCGCGAAAAACTTTCGCTTTCGCACGGTCCCAAACACTTTTGTGCATTGTTGTATGACATTGTGTAGCCCAATATTTGTGTACCTATACAGGGGTGAGAAAATCGTGTGTGCGCGCAACATCTGGTTGGTGCATCCATCCGCAACATATTATATTTTGACACGGAACCGATTTTTAACCTTTCGAATTTGAAGATAATGAGTTTTGAAAATTTTAAAATTTTAAAAAAATTTTAGAATTGTGGTCTCGTGTCAACAAATAATCTTAATATGTATGTATACGTCTTTTTTAGTAAATTTTCAAGAAGATCGGTCCATAATGATACTTTTGTTTTACCTGAATGCATTTAAACTCTTTGGAGTTTGCTTTCCCATACAGTAACTCCCCAACCATATACTGCGCGCACAAACGGTTTTCTTGACCATGTACACAAATCATTTGGCTAAGCAGTGTCTTGAAATAATGCAAAGAAGTGTTTGCGAGCGTGCGATATTGCACGTTCTTGTACTTGTAAACGAACTGGGCACCGTGTATTCGGATCACTTCCATTAAAAGCAAACAGGCGTACAGAAAGCATCGTTATAACGCAATCTTCTTCCGATTTTGCTGGAAAAAATGTTTAAAAATATGAAGATTATTTCGGCACGGAGATAGAATTTCGAATTATCTTTGAATTTTAAAATAAGGATTTTTTTTGCAATGTAGTCACATCGTCGTTCAAGGATAAACGCTATCTGACCCTTTTACACCAGCACTACGTGGATGTGTTGATGCACGTGTTGGCCAATCGGGACAACGGCGGCGACACGACCGTCATGGCACGTATCGAGCAAATGTGGTCTGGTTTCCGGCTGTTCCAGGAGATCGTCAAGCGCTACGTCCTGCAGCTGGACACCAGCGAGATGCCCATGAAACTGCGCAGTGGCCAGCGTTTGGGCGATGTCCTCCCGTCCGGGCAGCAGCTGCGGGCATGGCGCCATCTCGAACCGGAAACGGCCTGATTCCGTTGCATTGCCGATAGAAAATGTATTAATCTAGAATTTCGTCGTGGCCGGAAGTCGCAGAGTACAGTCAGTATTGGTATACAGAGTATATTGCATGCATTAACTTTATTTTATTAGAGATGTAACAACATGTTTATCAGGATTATTAGTCCGCCGAGTGTTGGTTTCCGGTGATGGTACACAACTGATCGTGCAGCTTGTATTTTTGTCTAAGATTGTTAATACTGCTGTTTCAACACACCGATAGATATTAAGATGTTTATATATACTGTAAGGAAGTATATTATAATGAGATGAAAATACAAACCTAATGGATTACTGTATCGTTTCGTTCTTTTGCTGGAAACCCCAATTAAAGGAACGACTTCTTACGGCATTCCTAGCATCGAAAACGACATAAAGCTAATGTAAATGCAAAGTGTTCCCAGGCTTGCTTTTTTTCACAACTATTTCGTAACTGTGGGACTTGGGAGTCATCTGCGGTACGTCAGTGTATAAACACTTTAAGAAAACTTGTTCACCGTGCAAGCTGAACTGGCAGAAGTACCGATAATATTCGGCTACATTATAAAAGGTGACTTGAAAGTAAAACCCCATGTTTCAGAACCATTCCACTGAAGTGCACCAAGATGGCTGCGGTGATCACCTCAATGTGTGGCTGTGCCATCGCTGTGGCAGCGGTACAACTGCATATTATTATAATTAATGAAACTGTACTCGAATCGAACTTACAGACAACAAGTTTAAATGAGATAGGAAAATAATAATTAAAGTGAACCGAAACGAATCTCATCTGCTGTATATGAAGCAGTTGCCGTAAAAAATTGTTCTCTTTAATCGGATACAGAGAAAAGCAGACAAAGAACGGGTTTGTGAAAAGCAACATTTGAAGGGATTGAGCCGGTCCATGGCACCAAATTTCTGTGCAGAGCACACACACGAAAATTCACTTTCACGCACTACTATACACTTTTTGCATTATTTTCCACAATCTATAAGCAGAAGACATTTTTGTAAACACTGGCATAAAGATCGTTTGTGCGCGCAACATCCGGTACGGGAGACAGAGCTGTGAAAAAGTACAGTAACATAAAATTAAAATCACTTTAATATAAAGCAAAAAAACAGTAAGTAGTATAAAAAACAAAAATTAAATAATGGTGAAATGAAAAAGAGTGAATACAAATAGACATAAACTAAATTTATTAACATAATATTCTTTTGCAAAAGAACACCGTCGACCGTTTCACTCCAGAAAACATGCGCAGCCTGATGTCTGCCCTTCGCAGCAGCGCACCAAAATCATCTCCGGCCTAGTCTACGACTCTACAGACCGCCGACCAAGGTAAAACAGACTGTACAAGTTACAGCATGACCATGGCGGTAAAATCGCAAATACACATAGCTCACGCACGCACGCACACCAGTGACACAAATATCGTGAACACTGAACAGTAATATTAATTGGCAAACATTATACGGAAGAAAATATGGCCGCACAAACCATAAAATTAAGCCGCTGCCGGTGCGCACGCGGTCACTCGGCAAGGCGTCATTCAGGTATTACGCAACGGAATTCTGATCAACCCCAACCTCTTGTAATACCACATAACAAAATCTTCGCCCCCAGCTGCGTAGGCAGCGGAAAGCCACATGACCAACTACAACACTGCAATTAAAAATTTTAAATTGTTTCGTTTTTTTATGGGCTAGGTGTCGGCCCAGAAAATTTTTGACCTCTCACCCCATTTGACACGGCGTAGCAAAAGGCTTATACCATCCCCCTACCCCTAACGCGTTACGTATTACTTTAATGGGCGCAGAAGGGCAGCGGCAGCGGGACCTGCAGACCTGCGCTAACCTACAGCTGCAGGTTAGCGTGCTGACTATGTTGATGTGCTGAGTTACTTGATGTGCTTAGTATAGATGTAGGTACACTGTAAAAGGTGTTACGGTGCATATGTACTGCACGGAACAGTAATTATGCGCTTTATTGCCAGTTTTTCATCAATTGCCGATATGGAGTCCATATGATTACGTCAAGCGTCAAAGATTCTGAGTCTAGATTGTGGACTCAGAATCGTTACTGCTAGCCGTAATCGTCGGGGTAATTTTATTAATACTCCTTTTCGCAGGCATTTTGTTCTGCTGCTTGAAATGTCGGCGGAAGCCGAAAATAGTGGCTTTCGTAACAACAGACCAACAAGTAAAACACGCTTATATCTGTTGCACTCCCGTGACGGAATGGTTGGGGAACTTGTGATCGTATTTTTTCACAGGTGCGTCGTTTAATTATCCTCCTGATCCGATACTCCAGATGACCGATCTTCCGGATTCGATCATTATACGAGTACGACCATTCGTGCACGGTATAATAATCGGTATGGCTGGTGCCCACGAGTATAACGGACCAAAAATTTTGTTCCGTTATACTCGTAGACACCAGCGATAATGATTTAATCATTTCCATTTTATTTTATTTTATGCGGCGCACTGCGTTACAATAGCCCTTTGTTATTTTGCTGCAGCATTTTCGGTGCAATCGATCATATCCGTCTATACAACGCCAACGTTTGTCTGAGGTAACGTTTTTTCTGCATGAAAGGCCGCATAAAAAAAGTGGCATAGAATGGCACACGTACGACAACTCAGACAAGCATCTAAAGATTGACATTCCATAAATAAGTGTAATAGTGGGCTCCAGTAACAAAAGGGATGACACGAGAGACTGACCGTGCTGTATCTTTATTGATGGTACATGATGACTGTACACGGATGGTACAGTGTGCATACAGATAATTAGAGATCTCTGTGTAGATGATTGTAGATGGTACAACAGTGTACAGCTTATATATATACAGATTACAGACAGATGGAAATAAACGTGAATATACCTAGCGGGTATTCCGGGTCGCAGTAAGCGTCGGTTATAGACCTATATGCTAAGATCGTGCATATGTGATCACAAGATGAACACATCATGTTTCTCATATGACTTAAGTTTGAACAATAACAGCGTTTTAGGCGCTAGAATTAAATGTGCCGGGTATCGTCCCTCCATTTTCCCAACACGTTTAGTAGAATGTCTAAGTTTTTTGCTGTAAAACAAAAATAAGAAATACCCTTTCTTCTTGAAACAGTTATGTGACGTACATTTACGCACTTTATTAACAATAAACAACTACAGTTTTTTATTTAAAAATTACTGAATTATTAAGTAAACGATATCATAATGATTTTCAGGTAACTTTACTACTGGTGAAAGTATCTTAATCGCTACTACTACCAGTGGCAGTACCATGGTATGGTACCACTACCACAACCAGTTCCACTACCAGCAACAGTACCATTCTCGCTACCACTAACATTAACAGTACCATAACGTGCAACCATTACCAGTACCAGTAACATTGATTATTACTACCCCTTTCAATTCGTACTGTAGCCATCATAAATTAATGCGTTTGACACATCGCGCTATGAAAGAAAAAAGACTTACGAAATGCAAATTGCAGCGTGAATAATTTCATTCCGCTAATTCTTAATTTGGAAAAGCAAAAGTAATTGCAAAACTGGTGATGTCGAAGCTGTACAGCGAAACAGGATCCATTTTTCTATCCAAGGACTTCATATTTCCTTATTGTGCATTGTAGAGTGGTACGCCGTGCGTGTGACCTTTTTCCCTTGCAAAAGGTCAGTTACACCTGCGGCGCGGATGCCTACAAGGCCAACGGCAGCGAGGATCTCCGTACTATGCAAATGAGTACTGTAGTTGCATTACACGGCAATGTGGAACTAGTAAGCGTTGTCATTTTCGTATTTTCTCTATTAATTCTGTGTACATGAACCGGCATCACGTGATGTCCATATATACTATCCCGTCATGTCAAGAAAAACAGATTCCAGGTTCTGCTCGCAATTCATAGTTCAAATTGCCCGATATGAGGTCTATCGGGCAATTTGCGATAGACCTCTAAGCTAAAATACGATACCAGTAAGTATCTGAATTCTCGTTTTCTTGATAACTTTCTACTTGCCAACTATACAAGCTCGAAAATTTTTCGCGCATTTTTCGAGCCATGGTTCGAAAGAACTGCACGAGTAGCGGAGACAACAAACCCGCAATCCGCAGTGTGGCCCATTGCGTCGGCCACTGCGTCTCCTGTATCATCCCTATGGCATAGTCCTCATTTCAGACGTACGGCAAAGAATCGCTCTTGCGAAAAAAGAATACCTGGAGACTGGAGTACACAAAGCTTTGTTATACAGTCAATTTCAGAACTACACTCGGCTCAGCGACAAAATATAGCGTTTTTAACGGCCTTTCGTAAAGTTGGCAGAGTGGAGTGATAGATAACCGGATTAAATATACAGCTCATGTACTGCAGGCATGCTACAACAGCGTAAACGTCATCGTTCCAGTACGGCCAGAAATCCACCAACAAGTAGTAAACGTTCCCTGGTACGAAGCAGACTACGATGCACAGCACTAACAACGCGAAGACACGGAAACTCTTCTTCTCTTCACGCTCAATGGATTTCGTTTTGCTTAGTCCATTAAGTGCGGATCCCGTATTGCCGACAGTATGTGCATTTATGACGTTGGTGTGGGCTGGACTAGTATGCATAACAGTAGCCCGCTCCCCGTTCACTTTATTGGGGAAACCTAAATGCAAAAGAAGCACTACAAATTTTTAACTAATTAACCTAAGGAACGGTGTGATTTACCTTGCTGCTTAGACTTTGCTCGTCCATGCAGCTTGCACAACACCAGTGCATAACTGAATAAGACAAACCATGACGGAAAATCATACGCAAAAAACTCTACAACCAGCGAATATGTATGCTGCAATTTGAAATTGATAGAGCACGGCAATGTCATCCCGTTGTACCATAACGCATCCATAACGTTATACGGCATTAGCAAGCAGAACAAATAAATCCACATGCCAGCGCACACCATCAGTGTGAACTTGACAGACCGCAAATTCCGATAACGAATGGGAAAATACAGCGAAAACAAACGATCCAGACTAATAAGCATCATGGAATGACCGGTACCGGTAGCAAATAAGTTATCAAAGAAGTTGTAGTACGGGCAGTAGCTAGCGTTGGATGTGGGCGACAAAGTGAACCAGACGAAACCGGTCATGCTAAACAGAGCCAGAGCTAGGTCCGTGATGGAAACATTCAAGATGTAGTACGAAAAAGGACTGCGCACGGCAGCGTCGCGAATAAATGCGATGATGATGAGAATATTGTATATAATGGTGCCGCCGCATATGACTGCCACACTAATAACAAACCCGTAGGTCCCCGGACTCAAGCCGGCTGGTGCGGCGTCGTCGCTGCTTGCCGCAAAGGAGCTGTTCCGATCCGTTTTGTTTGCTATCATATTGACAATTTTTACCAAAAGTAACCTTACAGAACCGGTGTGTTGTCTCTTTTCGATTGTTCAGTAAGCGAAACCCAAGTCAAAAAGTAGTACCGATTTCGCAACTGGTTTGAAGACCTGATCAGTACTTTGAACTTCCAGATTGCACCTCGTGTGGTTACTAAATTGGGAGTGTTTTTCGTACTGTTTTGCGTACGTACTTGGGTGTTACGGTGAACAAATTAAGGAACAATACTGGATCTTTATAACAACTTTTCGGTACAGTAATGCAAAAGCGTGCTTACCATCTTTGACCACTGAATAGTTTCAGTAAGCGCAAAAGCATTCGAGCAACATAAATGCAAGAAAGAAATAATCCAAGGGCGAAGAGATAATATGTGCTTATTAGCATATATATGCATTACCAAAGTGTGAAATTCAAGAAAATTGCAACGTGCCGGCAAAAGTTTGAAATTAATAGAAAAGCAGTTGCACGAAATACATTGCCGCACAGATTATGATAATTCAGCGTTTTCTAAACGCTATCGCACTATGTACAGCTTCAGAGCTCCGGAGTCGAATCTTTTGTGCCGGTCTTCGGTCCCGTGCGCAGGTACCACACTTTGCGACTAAATGCCTTGTACAACAGTTCCTCCTTGACTGCTTCTTGGCTTCCAGAGACGATACCCGGATGTTCGCTGTTGATAAATGCTGAAATCGATAGCCAAGATAACGTTACTGAGCAACCAAAATGCTTGCAAAATTAGGCATAAATAAAAACAAAATAATATTATATTGCTTATTCATGTAATTTTATTCATTCGGGTAGATTCCGTTGTTACGTACCCGGCAAATCGCGCACTACGTCAGCTCCGAGCGCCGCTTTCAGGCCAAAATGCGCTCCGTCAAACAAAAGCAGAATGTTTTCGGTCGTTCCGAAGATCATACATGCTAGATTCACGGCGTCGGTCATCGGGTGGCTACGATGCCAGTGGGCCTTGAAATTCATCAATCTCCCGCGAGGAAGGTAACGAGCGGCGCCCGGAAAAAGCTCCATTTTATCCGCGCCTTTGGTGTTGAGCGATATCTTGATTCCGTGCAGCAGCTCTTTCTTGTCTAAATAATTAGAGAACCAGGAAACTGTTTTGTTAAACTTCATGCGGCATAGATACTGCATACAACACGGGTTTGAAAGTCAAGCCACGGCAAGAGACCGTTTCGCGAACAGTTCTTACCGGCCGCCGGTTTCCCCCGTCGTGAAGTGTGGGATTGCTCTTTCTTTTTGAAGATGCCATCTGTAACAGCTCACAATTACACTGGTTTCTATTTTTATTAATTAAATTCAGTAGTTCACTGCAAAAAATCGAACTGCGATTCGGTGGTGGATAGTAAGCGGTGGATATTTCACTCAGCGCCTTATATTTGATGGCTGTGCAAAATAGATAAATAATATCAGCAGTACAATAAATATTAATGCGAACAATGTACAGCAAGTTTAAGAGAATGTACTTGTTTACAGTGCACAGCTTTACCCTCAGGTTTTTTTGGTGGAACCTTCAAGCGTTCTTTCCTGGCTACCTTGTCTGCAAAATTAGAACAGGTTTAAACACAAATAAGAGCTGTATATTATGGATAAATTCACCTTTTTTTGCAGAACGAGCCGCCTCACCGAACAACTGCATTTCCGGTTCGCCTGTTTCATAAAGAATAAACTTTTTGAAACTGTATTTTTATTTTTTATTTCACGATTAATTCAAAATTCTGCCTAAACTAGAGTGTCACCTACCGGAATTCGAAGTCTCGTCATCCGCGAAAGTGCCACCTGCGACTTCTCCAATTCGCCGTTTTAAGCCAGCCATAGTTGCAGACCGGATTCCGGATATAGGCATTCCGGGACAGATTTTGCCTTTCGGGGTTACGGTGCGCTCGTCGTTTGCTTCGTTCGCATTACTGTCCGAATCACTGTCCGGATATTCTAGATAATAATATTAAAAAAATTCATGTTGAGGTTAAGCACAAGCCGGTTCGGAGATCGAGGACGATAGAGAACAGCAAAAAATGTAATTTCAATGGTTATTGCTGTACGGTTTTTGTTTTGTGATTACGTTTATCTAACTAAGTCAGTTTCCTTAATGTTTCTCACGATAGCATGCAGATTTACATTGCACTCTTTGCGAGTAAATCTTAGACCGTGAAAATAAAAACATTTTTATCAACGGACATTTTGTAAACAAGCTAGTCATGAAGAAACATAAAAATGCTACTATCGAAGATAAGGAAGGCCGTAAAAAGGTTGAGTACCGAGAGCAATTAACGATAGCTAAGATGACAAGCCTGCGTTTGATAGACGGGTTACGAAATGTAATGTAAATAATCTGCAAGAATCTCACCCATAACTCGAATGCCCCGGGATGCTTTAGCAGATTTGGAATAACCAGTGCCGTCGCTCCAAGAAGAAACGTGTTTTTCTGCAAGTAAAACAGAAAGCGCTTTAAGACAGTTCTGCTGTTTCCCTTCTGGTGATTCCAATATCCAACATTTTGCGAGTAATGCCCTCTACATTCGCAAAACAGCTATTAGTCATCCCACGAATAAATTACACAGCAACATGTTGTATAATTTAAATAAATTTTTAGCAAGGTTGTCGAAACTTTAGAAATAGGAGGTGCTATCTCTACTGTGGTAATTCTGACGTACCGGCCACTTTGGCTATATGACCGCGTGTTCTAAAACGCCGTTTGTACAGAAATGCCCGAGTAGTTTACGTAGAAACGTCTTTTGCGATTCAGACAAAATCACCTGCTGCTAATTTTTAGAAAGTTTCGTACGGACGCCCAAATAATCGCAAAAGAATTATAGCCGCGGTCAGAGGCGTCTGTACTATTTAGTAATTAAAATAGGTAGTCATAGAAGCTAAGTGTCCGATTCCGGTATAACAGGTTAAAAAGCTGCACGACAGTATATTAGCAACAGACGAGGACTAAAGATGTGCCAAATAGCTGCAGTTCCCCATCTCAATTTAATAAACAGCTGTAACAACACAACACAAATTCTAAAGCTTCGCCTGTACAAAATTTAGTTAGCAAATAATAGATGTACAGATACTGCAATATGTCTTGCATTTACACGATAGACGAAATTGGTAAATCTGTTTATACCAAACACGATATGCTACAGCGCCATTGAATCAGTGCGTATAAAACGATTAAGCAAAATTTTGAAATACTTGCCGGAAGTATTGTGAACAGCCGGTCGATCGCTGTTCTTACTGGACACGTCGGCTGAAATATTCATAAAGCTGTTACAGAAACTCCATTTATTTAGCTTGCGTTCGTACCGCGTACCTAGTTTTTCTCCGGTAAACGGGTCAAACATCCAGGCGCCGCCACCGGAAGTGCTTGCGCGAGGCAGCGAATCCAAAAAGTCGATGTCATCGGCGCTTTTGCTTGGTGACATAACGGAACCACGTTTTTGGGGGTTTGCCTACAGTGCACTTAGTTCACTCACTTCAGCATTGCAATAAACTGCGGATAATACCAAAGCAAAACCAAAAGCGCGGACCCAAAGTGGTTAAACAAAAATTTATGCAGCCATGCGCATAAATACGTATAGACACTGAGCAGCTCGAGGTTGATCGATAAGGTTCTTGATGGTATTCTGTGGAACAAAATTGTATTGTCAACCTTAAAGATAATTAGAAAGGTTGTTTAAGGGTAAATTAGAACGGTTAAGGTTTTTTGATGATAAAAGCAAAGGCACACGCAAATTTGAAAAAGGCAAACTGTAAAGGCAAAGGCAAACGGGCGGCAAAGAAAACCTGACCGGCATCGCTAAGTAGTCAAACTGTTTTCATTTACAGCAACAATTAAACTAATTTCCGAAAAAAGCTATTCATTAACATTAGCCTAATTAACTGAATAAATACCAAGTTTTAAAACCAGCTTACAGTCTTTGAAAGGTCACCGCGTTTTTCCTGTAACGTTTCTTCTATGGCAGCGATTCGCACGACAACGGCTTCGTAAAACCGTCGGGATGGATCCATTGCTTTGCTAGCGCGCGCGAGAATGACATCCTTTTCTTCGAGAATTGGCCCATAATACTGGCTCTCCATTAGTCTCCAGTCGTTTTTCGTAGATGACTTAGCCATGTTCAAGAGCAGGCTCTTCTGATCTTCGACGAATCGCACCAAGACATAATCTGAAACGCAACGTGGTTGCACACTAAAATGCAATTAAAAGCAGCCACCAGAGTACGGTGGCCCTATTTTTCTTGAACCTTTTCGATCGGCATGGGCCTGATGTATTTGATCATGAGCGTCAAACACAGATAAATCAGCATTCTGTGCAGGAGAATGGCGTCGACGCAAGTTTTTAGGCGAAAAAGACATTCTAATGACTTAATCAACCATAAACCAAGAAAAGACAGTGTCTAACACCTAATTAAAGTTGCATAAAAACCAGTACTTTAAAAACCATAAAAGCCAACTATTACTTGTCGAATGTTCTGGTGGACGTTGGGAGCAGACTGTTAGTGCAAAAATTTCGATTACTTTGCCGGTTGAGCGGCGATAATTTCTTTTTAGACTGGGGGAATTCATCGGTTACCGAAGCATTTTGGTGTAGCGACAAGAAAATTTGTACCCGGTGGTTAATGCACAATATGCTTTTGTTAACTGCGTTGCGCGGACGCTCCAGGTCCGCGCTTTCTCACACCTGTTAACTAAGCAGCGATTACTAGCCTAAATTAGGACGTCAGCGGAAATCTGAACCCCGTTAGCCAGACAAAGCGCCTTTGTGCCTTGCGCCAGCCTTGTGGTGCCGTTGCAGTTGCAGTGGTTGCAGTATCTTCAAATAGACTCCGCTTAGTGCTCTAGAAAATGCCAAAACGCGTGTCCGCTGCTGGCGAAAGTTTTCGCTCTGCAAAGAAGCGTAGTAGATATAACGCATACTTGTATGGGGATATTATGCCTAATAGTACATATTATCGCAAAAAGCAGGAATACCGGAATGACAATTTTGTACTTCGACAAGTTCATCCTGTTCAAAAAGTCGCTCAGAATGAGGTGAGTGGACGTGGATTAAAAGCTAATTTCCAGACGGATTTTGCATAACTATAAGTAACCTCTGCTGTATATTTTTTTAAACAAACTATCGGAAACTTAACTTAAATTAGCGGTATCTGTTGATACGAGTCGAGATAGCGTCGTGGTTTTCCTAATATTTTCACAAGTAATATGCGAAGAGAGTGCACAAAGCACACAGTACTTACCGTACACCGTGTATAAACGCATCTGTATACCGTATACACTGGTTACACATTAATGCACAGTAAAAAATTATGACGAGCGAATCGTGCAAAAAGGGTACCGCACATGCGTATCGGGAGTATCGGCCGTATCGCCCGCATCGCTCTTCCAGTCAAAGCTGTACCGAACTTTCGTGTGACTGATAGTTTTGCGTACATACCAAGAATGTGATTTATTAACAGTATAATACTAAAAAACTGGGACGAATAATATTATTTTTTTTAAAAACGAACACTGAATATACAACTACTGTATACCGTATATACAAAAACATGATACATCAACCACAGAAAGAACACTGATTTCCTTTCCGATTCGGAAATGTAGTTAAAACGCGTAATGCGCTCCCCCCTTTGAAATTGGATGGATATTCTTCATAGTTTTAATGTGCAACGATTATCAAAGATTTTTGCGACCTGACCTTTTTGCTTTGACAACTTTTTCTTACCTACGTTATGTTGGAATGATTCCCACTAGCTGAATTATTATCACATGGCATATCTCCATATTGCTGAAGTAATCTACTATTTCAGTACGTTCAACTCAACTATCGCCTCTGAACATTTTAGGTGGAGCCAGTGGGCCGCTTGTTTGCAACTGATCCTGCAGCAGTACCACCAAATGAACGTTTGTTTGAAGGGAGCAGCTCAACTGAGAGCACCGACGCTACGGAATTTCCTCGTGTCGACACCGTTACCGACATGGTTGCATTTCTACGTGCCGTGCGCAAGCACAAATTGTCGCGTTCGCAGCAGGACAGCATGCTGAACTTCATAACTGGGCGGCAACGTAATCTTCCAGCAAATCTCTATTACTTGGATAAATCGCTGAAACCGCATCTTCTTGAATATGAACGCCATCAGTTTTGTGTACATCATGGCAAATACATTGGCCAAGAAATGCTGCTCAGTAACCTGGTATACTGTTCACACCCTAAATGCAAGAGCGCGCCGATCGCCAAGAAAAGCAACTCTGGAGTTTTTGTTACATTCTCACTGGACAATTTGCTTCGACGCTTTTTGTTATCATCTACAGCTAAATTACTCCTGAATTCAACAAGTGTCTCTGAGATACAATCACTGGACGTAATGCAAGGGAGTTTATACCAGCGGATCAAGAGCGAACCGAACTTTATTTCACTAACCTTTCATGTGGATGAAGGTTCGACGTTCGGAATAAACGGAAGCGACAATGGGAAAGTGCTAGCAGTGAGTTTCATAATTAACGAGTTGCCACCGCGTTTGCGCTACCGTACAAGGTTTTTGTACGCTTTAGCTACTGGTCCACATCTCCCACCAGTCCATATACTGTTGGACCTATTTTCTCGCGAAACTACTGCGTTAGAAAACAGTGGTATCAGTGTATCTACACGGCTGTTCACTGTGCGAGCTCCACTGTTAGTGGCCGACAGCATTGCAAGAATGGCAGCATTAGGACACGGGTCATTCCATGGCGAATACGGGTGCACTGTATGTTACCATCCAGGCAAACGAAGTGGTGCTGGTAATCGAAGCGTTCGGGTTTATCCTTTCATTCCGGGAGCAGCCTACGATAATCGCAGCAGACGCGATTCATGTGAAAATGCAAAACAAGCTGTTAGCACCGGTGCGGCGTTTCAAGGTGTTATTCGTCCTAGCCGGTTACTGCGCATTAATTCTTTTGACCCTGGTTCCGGAGCGCCACCAGACATTCTGCACGCAGTTGGAATCGGCCACGTGCGTTATCTGTTTCGATACTGGACCAAAGACAGTATGGCTGATATAAAAGTTTATTCAGATATGCACGACAAAAGACGGAAACTGCTCGCAATTACGTGGCAAGAACGTGTTGATTCGAGATCTAAAAGCCTAAAATTTCCAAGCCTCTTCAATCGAACCTATGCGGAATTGTCGACGCGGGTGAAGCAAACTGGTGCTGAGTACTTGCAATTTTTGCTTTACGCAGCTTTTTATTCTTTGGATGGTATACTGCCGGATGTTCTTTATAACAACTTGATTGACCTCGTTCTCGCTGTGCATTTGGTCCTTATGGATCACAGTTTGTGTCATGGCGATTTGGATGCCCATGCTACAAGCGCAAAAATGTTGCTGAAAAAGTACCTGGAATCATTCCAGCAGCTTTATGGAGAGCGGAAGATGCTATACAATTTACATCAAATTTCTC